TCAAACTATCATCGAACAATATAATTTTTAGCTTATCAAATCGATTTTATTGAACTGAATTGTGAGGGCAACCTATAAAACTTGCGTCAAGCTTGACTCGTATGATAATATTTTGAGAGTCATTAACAAAATTGTTGCGTCAAACACGCAGGAATCACGCATCATGTAAAACCCTGCTTTCAGTTCAGCATCTATAAATGACATACATATTTACATGGCATAGTCATTGTTTCAAACTCTAACAACAAAAATAGATGCATAAAGCATGGCAGTTCACCATTATAGTAATGTAACCATGAATATATAAATCTTAAGCTGAATAAAACATCAATATACAGTTAAACTTTTCCTACACCAGATGCAAAAGGCTAGTGATCATGCATTGTTAACTAATCCTGAAGACAATTAATTCACTAGCCTAACTTTCCACATATATAGAGATTCATAACTAAAAAATACTTATATTACTTTCAATTGAATGGTCATGCTAAAATGTAGCACACGTGTACATGGACCATCAAGGGTTTAGGAGCCTAGTTTCTGAACTCTGAATGTTCACTGTTATGTTTTGATTCAGACTGCAGTCACAGACACATGACAGTTGAATCAACATGATCAAGGTTTTAATGCTAAACTATCCCAAGTAATGACAGCATCATGCACATGTGGAACATAAAATGAGTTCCAAAGAACTTTTACATAAATTATGCAGTTTCACTCAATCATATCAATAACAAGAATAACATGGAAATATATACCATTTCATTTGCTTCTACTAGTCTTTAGACACAAAAGCATTGCTGTCAGTCCCCAAAGAAATCACATGGTATGTCATGAATGTGCTTTTTAATCCCGTAACACATGTCATGCTAACTTGTGATTACAAAGTTTTTGAAAAAACCCCCAAAAACACGATCAGGAAGGTTGTTCTGAGACTACACTGAGTGATTCATGTGAGGAAAATAAGCATGATGTATATAAATCTTAGTACAACTAAATGCTCTCTATTAAACAGTTTAACTGCTTGTTCATAGTATGATGTTCATAACAGAGCTCTTGTAATTACATAAGTCAGGTATTAATACAGGATTATAAACTATGTTGAAAGATCTCTTGGAATGCAAATTAAGAAAATATATTGTGTCCAAAAAGGGGATTTTGTTTAAAACAATATTATACCAATCACATTTACTGAATATACATAAGTACTCTGACAAGTATTCCATGAAATTATGCATATTCAGCATCAAACATACTAACGCCTTTTCCTCATTGCGATACCTATTATAAATGAAATAAAAGTACTGGTAAGCAAAAACAAATGATATTGTAGTAACAATCTGATCAGGGAATGTTTTATTTCTCTTTGGGAATCCTTACTAACATTTGCTGTAAACTTGGGGCCCCAAACTAACCTACCTGGAGTAACACTTGGTAGACCAATACATACACTGTTTTGTTTGTTGTTTAATGCGGCACACAGCAATATTCCACCAATACACTGGATTTTCCTGTGTTATTAATAGACACTGATTTGAGGTCAAATGAAACCCCTACTAAGAATTCAGTTCTTTAGTTGATTCAAATATATCTCACCTAATGTCAGCTACTTAGATAAAAGGTCTCAGTTTGCCAGTGAGAATTTGGCTTTTTTGAATGATTTTATCATGCAAACAATGTTCTTAAAGGTCACATGCAACCAAAAAATCAAACATAATTAAAACACAATTATCACTTATTCATGACATATAATATACATTGCTGATTATGAAAAAACATGTAAACACAATTATAAGCGCACAATCGCAAATCAAAAGTGCAATATTTCCCACTTGGGTTTACTTCCCTCAAAACGAAGCACCCGGGATGGCGAACCCAGTCAGAGCGGGTTGGTGTGCACTCAAGTGTAACGAGGACGTTCATTGGCTCGTTCATTTGCCGATGCCCTCACAGCTCATTGTGTGTGTATATATAGAGATGTTGGGTTTGTAAATACATGCTCATTTTTGTGTATAACATTTTGCAATCAACAGACATCATAACATGTCATGTGTTAAAGTATCACACCTGCCTGTCTGTGTAATTACATAATGTGACAGAGACCTAACTCGGGCCATAAATCAATGCGTTTTGTTTATGGTGTATAGCCTGATAGGTGTTAAGTTCAAATTGCATGTGGTCAGTGATCGAAGTTGTGTATTGAATATGGTCATTAGCAGACAGGCAGGCAGACACATAGGTGTTTTGTCTGTGACAAAGATATATCTATATCACAGTTAGAAATTCTGTCAACGCTAAATAATGACATTGCTTTTAAGTATCGAACTGAGAAAGTGTCTCGTAAGAAGAACGTGTGGTGAAATAAACAAATGAAATTATATAAACAGTTAAATCGGTAATCTACTGTCATAACATATAAAAAGCTCGCACCTGTGAAATATCAACAAAACATTAGAAAAATAGCTCACATCAAAGCCATCACCGAGTATTCACCACCAGCGAAGGTTTTCTGTCTTGAAATGTCGAACGCCTCACTGGTTGACACATAGCTGAGTAGATCTAGATCCTAACAAGGTTCTTTTATGTAATGAGTAGATTATTTACTATTTGTTTTAATTAGACTACTCCTGCTCACGACCTTATATTAAATCTGGACATCCCGCTTCCAAGCTGCGCCAAACCTATTTCACTGTCTATGCACACTGCACCATAATGCACAGCTGTTGAAACCACTTGATTTAGTGAATTGTTTGAACTCCGATTTCACAGGGGGCTTTTCATCGCGTTATTTTTCAACTTTATAAGTTGAATTTGCATTTTTGATGATTTGTATCTGTAAGTCCATACCGAAAGGTATCAGAATCTGCAAAGTTGTGTTTTATGTTGCATGTGACCCTTAATAGAAAACAATTAGATCTTAATATTGACAACACACGCACCAGTTTGGTATCAATTTAGCATAAATGAAAAAAAATGTTTCAAAACATATGCATATATTTTCAGGATAAGACTTTTCTGTGAATGCTGGTGAATACTGTTGTTGTTGTACATGATTTTGCGTCAGTCATGTCATCAGGCAGGATGTAAACTTTGACAATTTCGTCTGAATTCACAAAATCATTATAATGGCACCTATTTGTAACAAATTCTTCCCTTGCATATTCTTAAAATATTTAGCAAATGAATGCAACAAATAGACAAATGGATGTCTGAAAATGCTATACAGTAAAATATATTTTCCCTGTTTACATGTCAGACAAGCAGAGTCTGAGCTGAAATATTTCATTTGATTTCATCTAGACACTTGCACTTGGTATTGGTGACAAAGACAATTGCTAATTTATTCTAAAATATGTGAGGAATTCAGTGATGTATTTGTAGCAGCTGAGTGTGAAATTTACGTGAAGAAATGGACAATTCGTGCCTGGCCTTCGCGAAACATGATTTTGTAAATACTATTCATCATAGTGGAAAACTCACTTTGGTGTTTGTGTTCGTGTATTTTCCAGATTATCCCAAGCGATTCTAGGTTTATTTGCGACATTCCAGAACTACCATTGGTAGTTTGATGAAAACCAGATATCAGTGATAACTAATGTGCTACTTTTTAAAATCAATCGTCCAAGTAATTATCTGATATTTCATTTATCTGTCATTTCATTGCCAGTTCAACAATTTTATGTACCAGAATCATAGCAACCGATTTCGTATTTTGTTTATTTGACGTACCCATGCGCTGTCTGTGTTGTTGACAGTGTGACTTGCACTGCCATGCCTTGCAATGCCTGTATGCAAATACTGCCCATAATGTTTTGACAACCTTCCGACGACTACTTCCGCGAGGCGGATTGTGTAAGTATTTGCCTAATTATGAACTTTGACAGTGATGACAATTAGGATATGCCCGGTGAAACATGACCATGCTCGCAAAGATGGACGTCTGTCCAGTTTTCGCCAGGCTTCCAGCAACATCACGATTACCTGCCCATTTGTCAGATTATGTAGTTGACATGAATCATGAACTTGATAAAATAATGACTACTTGATCAAACTTTTCAAGGCTCAATGATCAGCCGCACTGCTGACATGTGCCCAAACTTGCTAAAGTTTGTAACACAAACAATATGTTTTGCTCAAACACATCATACCTAAATATAACAACTTAATCATTCGTTGGTTTCACATTACTGTTCAACTCGCTGTGCGCATGCGCAGAGCATGTGAAAAATATCCACTGGCATCTTTCCGGTTTGGTCGTATGTTTATCGATAGTGTAAATGCACGCTAAATAAAAGCTGTTATGAAAATTATTTACGTTGTGACAACTGTTCATAGCTGAGTACATACTTCCATTTGCCTCTGCTTTTCAATAATTGATGTCCTATTTTGGTTGCAATTCCATCAGAGATGTGTTTGTTTAGTTGTGAGAAGGGGATGTGCAGGAAGGACGGTGGTGGTGAGATGTCTTTATACAAGAGCTTGTTAACATAAATTAAGCTATTTATTTAACTAATCCCGGCCTCTGTTTCATAAATCAATTGGGATCAGTTGTATTCGACATAAAACTATATATTTGTTTTGATTTTTGTTTCTTTGGAGTGTTTACACTATCGATAAACATACGACCAAACCGGAAACATGCCAGTGGATATTTTTTGCACGCTCTGCGCATGCACACAGCGAGTTGAACAGTAATGTGAAACCAACGAATACACATCTTATATGAAGGCTTGAAAATCAAGAATATCAAATAAATGTACCGCAAATGCTAGTGATCATTAATTAAATATAATGTGATACAATGACTACTGAACTAAATACTGCTTTCTTGACATTGACTTCAAGAGGCAGGTGGTTAGCTGGATATAGCTATTCCAAAGCGATCATGTTTTGTCAATATCTAAAAATCACATCAAACAATACATATGATAGTTGTGTACAAATGCTGGTCTATGCCCACTCTATTCAGATTCAACTGAAGACGTAACAACATTGTATACCTCATTCGATTTGACACCGTACACTGCGTCTTCTGCTTTACCGATTGATTACATGACCTAACAGCACTTCCAAAACATTGATACTAATACGCAAAACGAAATAGTTCTTCGCGCAAAAGTCCCTGATTAATGTTTTCGGAGAGACATGCAGTCTTCTTGGAATACACACATGGTATTTGACTTACTTGTAATTACCATTTATTATAAGTGATTTCTTCATTCACTAATAAACTATTTCAAGAAAATCCTATTTGGCGTAGGGATATGCAGGGGAATGAATAAAAATTCACTTCCGAGATGTGTTGGCTTGAGATACGGATATAATGTCATATAATGAGCTATTCAGTTTTTAACTGAACCGAAAGATACATGGGTTTCGTCTCTAAACAATGAAGTTATTAAAGTGAACATGTTAGTGCCTAACAACATTCATTTACTCCGACATGTCATAAGAGCCACTTCCTTCCGGTCTAGAAGGGTCGACCGTCAAAAATGCCACTGAAGTATCGTGTCAGAAATGTGCTCGTTCTGGGGGCCCTAGTGGGCGGAATAGGTCTTACGCTTTATCCCATCATGATTCAGCCATACATGCACCCGGAAGAATGGCGTACGTGTATAATTACCTAGTTGTATGTCTTTTTGCGATATAAAGCCATTATTACTTCGGATTTCGCGCACCTGTTAACTAAGTCTTCGTGTTTACTGTTTAACGTGTGCTTTATTTTCCGTTTAACACAAAACTCTGTAAAGAATCGAGTCTAATCCAGACAATCTAGTCACTGCCACCATGAGCATCGATCTACGCAAATGAGATACGATGACTTGCATTGACCAAATCAGTGAGTCTGGCCTCCCGATCTCGTTTGTCACCTTGTAAACAAGCATGCCTTTGGCTTTCTGGAGACCTTTTGATGCAGGAAGTTCATGGTTTCGATGTTTGCACTAACGCATATGAAAATCACTGACAATTGCCTTGATGCTACTTGCAATAAGTAAGATAATTAAAATTTTAAACAATGTTGTTTAGGAGCAGCCTAACAAATTTGTGAAAGTAGTTCACTTAACCATGTTTACCAGTGGCACTTTCTTGGATTACATTTTGGTTAATGTGGAGAGCTTCAACAATACACCACCGTTTCAACACAATACATGTCACGGTACAGACCCCTTGGTATATTTCGAAATGAGAGAGAAACAATATTTTTGGGGATAAAACTATTTCTTGTATTAAAAACAAGAGTGGAAACACCATAAAATATAAAATAACTATTGGCTGAGCTTAAAGAATTGACCAGTGAAGAGACTGGTTGTATTATTATGCAATTCATATTGCTAATACAGGACCGAACTGAAATAATTGGTTAATCTATACTAGGCACATAAAGAAACTGTGCATATAAAAATTTAAAATCAAAATTAATCAAACCTGTGTAGACACATAAGGATTTAAACTCAGAGATTAGTGACATGTATCCAACATGCATGCACGTGCCACGTTCCGTGACGTCAGTGGGTTCGTCCTTGAGACGTGCAATACGTTGTTGCACGTGCATTCCGGGAAAGAGAAACAGAGCAAATGAATGCCACACAATACTGTCACTTTGGAAAGCTCAACCCCTGCCCTTGCGATCGTTCAAAAAATTAAACGGCTATTGAAACGCATAGCATGCCAAGGCTCACGTCTGCACAATGTCATGAGGCCATTGGGATGGTCCGTGGGGGAATGTCTCAACGACAAGTGGCTGCACATTTCCACTGCCACCGGAACACCATTTCTGCACTGGTGAGACGCTACCAGAACACAAATGACGTCATCGATCGGCCACGTTCTGGACGTCCACATGTAACAACGCCAAGACAGGACAGATGGATAAGGGTGACCCATCTTCGCCACAGGTTTCAGACTGCAGTGATGACTGCCTGAACCATCTCAGGACTTCGCCCACAGTTCCACCCCAACACAGTTCGACAACGCGTTTACGTCATCACAGGATCAGACCGCACGACGTCCCGCCATACGGCCTATCCTGACACAGCGTCATTATGACTTACGACAATGTGGTGCGAAATCATGTCCGCAGACCCTTGTTTTGGTGGAGAAATGTTGTTTTTACAGATGAGTCCAGGTTTAACATTTCCCATAGTGATGGACGTCAACGTGCCTATAGATGCGTGGGAGAACGTTATGCACAGGCCTGTGTCTTGGAGAGGAATCGCTTTGGTGGTGGTTCCGTGATGATTTGGGGTGGAATAACAGCACGCCAAAGAACTCCTTTGGTGATTGTTCAGGGCAACTTAACTGGTGTGGGCTACAGGGATCAGATTCTTCGACCTGTGGCAATTCCTTTTCTGCAACGTCATGGCCCTGGGTTAACATTCCAACAGGACAATGCCCGCCCTCATACGGCAAGGGTTGCTATGGATTTCTTGCAACACCACAACGTTGACTTACTGCCTTGGCCTGCAAATTCACGGATCTCTCCCGATAGAGCATGTTTGGGATGAGATGGATCGACGTCTCACCCGCCTTCCTCATCCGCCAGATGACGCCCTTGACCTTGCAACAGAACTTGAGAGAATCTGGCGTGACATCCCACAAGCCTTCCTTGCACGTTTGATAGGCTCTATGCGTCGTCGATGCACTGCTGTTCTCAATGCCAATGGTGGACATACCCGTTATTGAGCTTGTGACATGGTCGTTTGACCCCTGTCCCGCTTGTGGACTCGTGACGTCATTGTGATTGACTTTTCAATTGAAATTCTCCCGACTTGTTATGGTCTCATGATCCCTCCATTAAAGTTTATATGTACCTTTGACATTGTTATCGTACTTATCAACTGGGATAATATTTTGACAATGCACAGTTTCTTTATGTGGCTAGTATATTAAGCCAACACCCTACCATGGGAACATGGTGCTATCACAAATGATTAGTACTTGATTGTAAAGGGGATCCAAGGCGAAATGATAGAGTCAGGTACAATGAACTCAACCCTCAGGGCAATGGGGTAGGCCCTTTTTTCAGCAGTTTGAGGTTAAAGGTGTTTTCACCATTACACTGGACCCAGGTTCGGTTCTCCACATGGGCCACAATTCTGATGGCCGCGATGTGTGAAGCCCATTTCTGGAGTCCCCTGCCGTGATATTGCTGGAATATTGCTAAGAGCGGCATAAAACTCACTCACTACAATTTGTTCATTGTAAAATCATGCTATCAACAACGGCTTTGTCAGGCTTGATAATTTACAATCCTTGCATCTAACTAGATAATGGCTACTGTGTCCTCAAACAACATTAACTCATGCACTTGATATGCTCAAGGCATTGTTATGTTTGTTATAATTCAAGCATAGTTTCTGTGATATTTCAATGAGAATGTATGAAGATTTTTGTATTGTGCAGTAGTGTAGTGATATATTTTTAAGATTATTATTTTACAGAGAAAATGCAGAGAAGTACAAGAGCAGGTATTGACCGGGAATCTATACAGCCTGGAGGTGAATATATTCTTCATATTGTCATATTTGTGAAATTCCATTAGCCACTTAGACTTAAAGTAAAGAAGAATCCAACTGACTTTAAACAGAAGAGCAACATCAGCCATTTTGTCAACATAGAAATATAAGCCCAAGACAGGTGATACTAAAACCAGGGATCTATCTAGATTTGACACTGTTTGCCTTTGGCAGGCAATGTGGTAAGAATATTGTTGTTTTGTTCTAAATGATCACTGATATACAAATCACCTGTATGAATTTCTATATAACATGGATTTTTAAATTTGTAAGTCCAGTTTTGGAATATTTATCGACATTTGTTTCAGACATGGGGTTCAATATCGGTCTCTTGACCAGGCCAAGATAAATTCTTGCAATACTATTATACTAAATTTGGAACTCCAGTACACTGGCTTCTTTAATTATCAGGCACACAATAACAAAATGCTTTGATTTGAATGAGATTGATCCATATGGCAGAGTAAGTGCCAAAGGCTGTCATTTTTTAAATAACAGTATGCTGTTTGTGTGAAAATAAAGAGATCAGTGTGGAACAAAACTCAAAAAGAAATCACCTATGGTTGTAAGCTGAGAAAAAAATTCAGTTTGGATCCAAGGCAGAACCTTTCAAGAATCAGTTTGCCAGTCCTTCTTGGCACCCAACAGAGCTGCTACATTCTCTTCATTGTCAAGTCAACCTAATAAAACCCAGAACAATATACCACGGTAATACAAAAAAATTGAACCACTTATTGGTGACTGGGTAATGTCTGAACAATATTTTCCACATAGCTTTGCCAATAATTAGTGAGCAGGCTTCTTTGCTTTTGTTTGTTTATTGTTTGACACCACTCTCAGCAATATTCTGGCTGTATTCCTGCAGTCTGGACTAAGGCTGTAACGATTCACTCGCATATTCGGTGAATCGAACCGTAGCCCTTCATGAATTCAATTCGTTATTCGTGGTCACCAGAACAGAATATTAATGAATATTTACGATTTTTTTAAGGGAGCATGTTTTACTTGAACCCTTGTGTACTTTGGAAAGTGAGATATGCAAGGATTGAATATGTACTAGCCTTGCAGTAGCTCAAGTCATGTTAGTTTGCCAAGGCTGCACATTGTACTGTCGACTATAACTATTACATACCAAATTTGAGTGTCATGAGATCACTGGTTATTGCTGTGACAAATCAAAACTGTCAACATGGGCGTACCATATTGTACATCAATCACTTAACTACAATACTGTATTCGTGAATAACTATTCGTATTCGTTACCCAATATTCATGATACGTATCATATTCGCCACATAGTGTATTCGTTGCAGCCCATTAGTAACCTCTTACTACATGGGTTACTGACAGAGTAATTCTAATCTAGACCTTCACAGGTGCAGGCTTCACATAGGAGAGATGTCTCACACAGCCTGGTAGCTTTCCTGATCCAGACTCATTGACAAAATGTGTAAAGATAGGGTGCTTGTTTTGCCCCAGTCAAGCCCCTCTGATATTCTGATTGGCTAATAATTATGGTAAGGTTTAATGTGACAATGAGGGCAGTCCCTGTAAAAATATCCATGTAAACATTTTAAATAGTCTTTACCCATGGAAAAGAATTCACATTGGAACTGAATGGTGTAGTTTAATGTCATTCTGTAAAATATTTTGTTGTCTCTTTTCCTGTAAAGTTTTGGAAAAGCAAATCTTATGTTCTATTTACAGGAATGAAGGTTTGGAGCAACCCTTTCGAAAAGAAAAACTAAGTGTTTTTCGCAAGATAGGCTGTGAGATCGGAACACAGACACGAAGGACAGCTTAGTGAGATGTGTATTTCAGCTGGACACTGTTGTGACAGTGATATCAAATGTGTGAAAGATGTGTGTCAGAGTGTGATCTTTGTATGGACATTTGTATCTTTATGTAAATAAAATATACATGAATTGAGAATGTTGTCTTCAGTTCATGCTATGGCAAAAGAGTTAAATGATTGTTACCCTGCGTGAGGCTTGACATGGGGATAAAACAAGGAATGGTTGTCTTGAGTATCCCTGCGTGAGGCTAGTGGTTAAAGCGTTGGCTCGTCAAGAAGACCTAAAACATGGGTACAATGTGAAGCCCATTTCTGGTGTCCCCCGCCGTGATGTTGCTGGAATATTGCTAAAAGCGGTGTATAACCATCAGTCAGTCAGTAATACAATACTACCCCTATGAGATAGTGAGTATAGTTTTATGTGGCTTTTAGCAATATTCCAGCAATATCATGGTTGGGGACACCAGAAATGGGCTTCACACATTGTACCCATGTGGGGAATCGAACCCAGGTCTTCGGCATAACCTGTAACCACTAGGCTACTGCACTGCCCCCTATGAAGTTGTGGCATGGTATTTGAGTCTGCTTGCACTGCTAATGCTCACTCACTCATGGACATAGCTATGTAAGTGTAATAATCATGATGGTAGACACAATTTCTCTTCCTCAAGGTATATACCCAATTATTCAATAAATTTGGTGATATCTATAAAATTCATTGAGCTACAACCCAATATAGAACCCCCTACGATGTTGGGAAACATCGATATGAGTAAATGCACCAAATGACCATCCGCTAAATGCCACTATTGAGTTACTACTTGTGGTAAGAGGCGACTAACGGGATCGGGTGGTCAGGCTAACTGACTCGTTTGACAGATGTCATCGGTTATCAATTGCGCAGATCGATGCTCATGCTGTTAATCACTGGATTGTCTGGTCCAGACTCGATTATATACAGACCGCCGTCATATAGCTGGAATTTTGCTGAGTGCGGCGTAAAACTAAACTCACTCTCTCATTGAGTTACTATGGTATTTTGAAAAAAATCGGGCGTTGATGAAATTGTTGTAAGTAGTAAACTAATAATAGAATGACAGTTTGATTCGAGCAATAATCAAAATGTTCGTGGCATCGTGTAAAAATATGAAACTTCCACAAAGACAGGTTAAAGATGCAAGCAGACCAAGTGCATTGCAATCAAACGTGATCATGTCTGAAAATGAATATGAATTGTAAAATAATTGTTTCTGTTTCTAACTTAGGCCTCGAACTTTTTTGACTGTCTTTCGATTTCCCAGAAGTCTTGTCAGTCTCGATTACCCTACGTATAATATCAGTTTATTTTATAATGATAACCAACGAACCAGTTTACACACACACAAAAATCACCATTCCCTGATTTGCCCCATTCTCTTTGGTTTTCGCGAAGAGATGTAACTTATGAGAGCGCTCGTAAAATATCGCCTGATTTGATGGTCCGCACGATGGTTTGCTCTACTCCCGGGTTGACAAGACAATGATACATCAAACTTTCCAACAGTCTATACACGATTGACATCTGATCCCCACATATGTTCACAGCGTGCGAGCCTTAGTTTGACGGGCCGTACACAACCTGTTCAATACTCCTCAGTCCTGGTCTCATTCTACAGAGCGATCATTATATTATATGATATTTGTATAGCGCCAATATCCAGCTCAGCTCAGCTGCCCAAAGCTCTTGGCGCTTTGTAACAAATTTCCCTCTATCATCGTATTGTTCAGTCTCAACTTCCAGGGGATCATACAATTATCATATATTATAAAAGGGTTGTAGTCAAAAGGGTCGAAAAAAAGTCAAATGGGGCGAGGCCAAAAGTCAAATGGGTCGAAATCCAAAGTCAAAAAGGCCGAAAAAAGGGCCGAAAACTTTTTTTTGTTCATCCCATATGACTAAGAATAAGACCGTTTTGACATTTTTTCACGGCCCATTTGACTTTCACCACCGCTCATTTGACTTTTTCCATCGGCCCATTTGATTTGGCACTTGGGTCTCGGCCCTTTTGTTCTTCGGCCCATTTGACTAGATCCCATTATAAAACAGAAGTACGTTATACAGCCTGGTTCCCGAGGTATGAAGCACAAGCGCAGCATACTCAGGAAACTAGTCTGAACACGTTCATCTCATCACGTTCTCACCCATGACGTCATTACGCTCTAGCTAACGTTGCCCATATTATCGACCACTAGTTTGTTCCGACTTATCTCGAGTTTCGGTTACCTTGAGCCATCAGACGCAACTTGTTAATAGTAATGAATTATTTGAAATTCATCTAGCTGGTGCAAAATTTGTAAAGTCAGTTGTTGTTTTTATTTTGTCTGAACTTTAATAAAATCGAAAGACAGAACTTGAATGAAGTAATCGAAGAATTATGAAATATCCCTGAGATTCTTTAAATGTAGGTTTGGCAGACACTAGGAAATATTTTATGGAGTGTCAACATACGTTTCTGTCAGTTTTTCACTTTATACACAATTAATGAAAACATAATCTCAGTCATTTACAAATAGTCTGAAAATATCACTGATGTTTTTATCTGAATGACTGATTCTACTTTAACAGTAAAATGCAATCACACATTGCTGAAATTGACAGAACGAATTTATCGAAACGATATCAAGGTAGCATAAACTCAGTCCTAACCTTTATATGTAAACCTCAGATGGGGTTATTCAACCGATCAAATAAATCAAACACATTTTCAGGTAATTTACAAATGTCCTCACTATCTGGACAAATGGGTATCTTTGAAGACTTAAGTCAAGAATTGGGATGCAATAAAAGACCATTTCATGAAAACCTACTTACAAAGTCATGATACATCCATTCTGATTATTTATGTACTGTTATTATGTTTCCAATTTTTTTTTCTGTATCATGTTTTTCATTCTTGGTAAAAACGTATACTGTGACACAATTACAATTTTGAAATTTAAACACGATTTATAGACGTGTTTCAAATGAGATAACATTTTGAGAACGTCTTTTGTTAGGGGCGATTATTAAAACCATTCAAAAAGTGTAATTTGCGACCAGAAAGCCCAGATATATGGATTTCCTTTATTACGATTGCACAATCTAGTGGTGAGAAGAAAATGTAAACAAACAAGGTGCAACAATGACTGCTCCCTTGAATTTTGACCAATGAGAATACCTTCTTTCCTACGTCTTCGGTCCTGTTCCACGTCAATTTGAGGTTGTTGGAAATGTTTACAAACCAAAAGCATAAAATAAATCATGAATCGTGGGCATTTCTACAAACACAGCTATCATTTGCATTCATGAAATGATTAGCAAGGTATGTGAACTTTTGACGCGCTGTCGTGAGTTGTTCTAGTTTTTCTTCCCGAAAAACGATTTTTGATGGTAAAACAATATTTGAAACAGTCTGACAGTCTGGAATCCCACCCACACCTCTATCGATTGAGGATAGTGAATGCTATTTAGAAATGATGTTTGTATTAAGAGATCTCCTGTGCCAATGTAATGATTTCAGTACTTGGTAATTAGTCTACGCTATGGTATGACAACTTAAATATGACGAAACAGAACTACTTAAAAGTTCGCTGTGAATCTACCTCACTACCAATACCATACATCATACACCACGGTCATCGTGGTCCTAGAGAAATATGTTGATTAAGTGCATGAGAAAATAGACTGCAGTGTCCTAACTAGATATAGGGATGTCAAAGAATATTATAGCCACCATATAGTCTGTTTCTTTCAGTGGCAACTTTGATAACTTTGCCATTATTTTCAGATGGAATTCTAACAAGTGCGTGGATGCTCTTGACTCCTCATCTCAGCCAGTAGAGAGGTCCGCTGATAGGTGTTATGGGTCAGATGCTAAGGCGCCTGCATGAGGTGAATCAGTTAGATTGTGCAGGGGTGAAGAGACGGAGTGTCTTGAAGTGTGAGGGTTTTCCAGACCTTGATTCTTTACCCCCTGAACTTGGGTTGACTGTGCTGTCCTACCTGAACCCAACCGATCTCTGTTTAGCCTCTTGTGTTTGGGGACACCTTGGAAATGATGAGTTTTTATGGCAAGGGTGAGTATGGAATGGAGAAACATTCTACAATATCAAGAAATTATTAGTGCTATGACTTAGTGTGTTTTTGGTAAAGAGAAATGACTTTTGTTTTGTGTGCTGTTTAGATCAAACTCTGATCAGTAATCGCTTTTTTAAACAGGCATTGATTTTAACCTGTCACGGCCTTAATGTCTATCATAAATGTGTTTGGTTGCTGAGTATATTGTGTATGCCCTGTGTCACTCTTCAAGCATACAAGTCTGTGTTTGTTTGTTCATTGAAAAACACCTCATGTTTTTCTAACCTCTTGATTGTCTTTTACTAAGTTGAGCACAAACCATTCAATGCATTCAGTGTTTCGTCTGTTGCAGGCAAACCCTGTATGACACATCTGATGATAGTGCATCATCAAAGTGATGGATATTGTAATGATTGAAATTATGTAATATCATCACATTAGTGTGTTCAGTGTTTGTTTTCAGCCTGTGCAAGGGTCAGTGGGGATACACCAGTGTTTACAGGAGGGCTCGCAACATTCCAGACTTTTCTTTCAAGAGATTATTTCTCCTGCTGGATGAAGCCTCACTCACTTTCAATGGAGAGCCTTATGAGGTCAGTTATGCCGACTTTTTTTATAGCAATGGAAATTAGCACCAACCCTACTGTCCACATTACAGGAATCCTTAAGGAGAATAGAATTTCAAACAGTTCGGAGTGTATTGCTGTGTGTTAACAGTATACAAGCTTTTAAATCTGGGTTAATTTCTATCCCTTTAACTTTGATTAGCTTTGTTTGTCACAGTTTCAACAATGAGAAAATGATTGCAGATTCAACATTATCTAGAGGCGGTGGGGTAGCCTAGTGGTTCAAGCGTTCGCTCGTGACGCCGAAGATCTGGGTTCGATTCCCCACATGGGTACAATGTGTGAAAACCATTTCTGGTATCCCTCGCCATGAAATTGCTGGAATATTGTTAAAAGTGGCGTAAAACTTAACTCACTCACTCAACATTATCTTTTGCAGAAATTATTATATTTTTTCTCTCTTTGTTGTCTGCAGTGGCACTTTATTCTTTCAAATACAGACTGTCTTTGCAGTAGTAATTCAGTATCAGCATAAAGTATTTCATCTAAGAGAAAGGGTAAGCAATGTCTCCTATTATAGTCAGAACATCAATCTCATGGCAATAGCTGACCAACTGATATACACTCATGGAAACGAATATAGGAACACATGCAAGTACAAGTGTTCCTTAATTCTTTTCCAGATTTCTTCACAAGTTATGTATTGCACTGTGGGTGAAAATCTGGAAATAAATAAAGGAAAACTTGTACTTCATGTGTTCCCATATTTGTTTCCATGAGTATATACAGTATCTGCCAGGTGCCACCTTGTTTAAGTAAGTGATGTTTTTTGTTATCAGGGAATGAACTACTTGTTCGAGCATGAGATACTAGATGATGACCCTGAAGAGATAGCCCGGTTCCTTCATACCACCAAAAAAATATGGCCAGTCCGGAAACGCCAGTTTCTTGATGGCAGGTCAGTATAATGTTCATGTTACTACAGTCTACAATTATAAATTTATTATGTATAATGGTAAACTCTCAAACCAAATATCTGGTAAAATCCCAAGCAAGTCTACAGCCCTTAAGCATGTTTAGCATGTCTCGATTGCTTCAGTTTCTGAAAATGAAGAGGTTCTTGGACTATTTTCTATTAGGTGTCAAAATGCACTTTGTGAAAGGAATGTCTCAAAAGTTTTTGGATTTTAATGTAAGGTCTCTTCTTTTAACTTAGTGGAAGTATTAGTCTGAATTTGAACGGTATTGTCTTCATATCATTCTACACTGTTGTTACATACTTCAAGTAAATCATGAATTACAAAGTTTTTGTGAGCTCTAATGATCCTTAGGCTAACTTAGTAATGTACTTCATATACTATTTCAGGCGAGATGTTCTGGAAAATTTAGTAAAACTACAGAATTTCCAAGGCCAGTTTTTACCCAACGCTTTGAGGAAGTTTTTCACAGAGTTCTCTGCCCCTACTCAGCGCGGGAACTACCTGACAGAAGTCATTGAGAAATTCTCCCAACAGTTTGTGGCTTGTAACCCACAGATTGGTCTCAGCCAAGGTAAACAATCCTATCCCCTGTTGGTTATTCAAGGTTAGTAGTGCTCCTTAGCTTGTTTCAACAGGCAGCTACAAGGATTTTGTATCATTTTACCTTTATGGCACTGGGTGTTGCTCATGATGTCCATATCTAGTTTGTCAGGTTCAAACTTATGCTCGCTGACTTGGTTGACACATATCATCGTATCCCAGATTGTCTGGCCCTGACTCGATTATTTACAGAATGCCGCCATATAGCTGGAATATTGCTGAGTGTGGCTTAAAACTAAACTCACTCACTCATTGTATCCCAATAGCGTAGATCGATACTATAACTATACATCAACCATGTCCACGAGTCTGACACACAGTCATGTAAGTGACTGAGTAAGCGAGGCTATGGTTTTACCAGGAATGTTACCATTCAACATCCAGCCATATTGCAGCAATATCAATAGGGTAAAATCAGGACACCAGAAATGGGCTTCACACATTGTATCCATGTTGGGAATCGAACCCGGTCTTCGGTGTTACAGTAGTATGTAAATAACTGAGCCTGGATCAGACAATGCTTTAACCAGTCCACTAGGCTACCCCACCGCCCACGCACTGTGATGTAAGTAGAGTACTAATCAAAGCGACATATCTGTGAAGATCCAGGTTAGAATTGGTCTGTTATAACCCATGCTGGTCATAAGAGGCGACTAACAGGATTGGGTGGTCAGGTTCGTTGACTTGATTGATGCATGTCATCTCACACCAGTCACATAGATCGATGCTGATCGATCACTGGATTGTCTGGTCCAGACTCGATTATTTTCAGGCTGTTGTCATATAGCTAGGAAATTGCTGAGTGTTGTGTTATACAAAAACAAACAAACAATCAATTTCAAGTCATTTATTTCAGTAATAAGGCCTCAGGCCCACATACATATTACATGCAAATATTTACAATTGGTGCTGCATTTCCTAAATTTTAAAGATATGACGATCGTAGACTGGCAGCATCTTTCACAAAATTTGCCAGGTTTTTTGACAGTAAGACAAACAATCAAAGCAATGTGAAACCCCACTCATTGACTATAATCCTTATATGTTTAATTCCAGACACAGTGTTCATGTTGTGCTTCTCACTCATTATGCTGTCTGTGGATTTAGCATCACCGCACGTCAAGAACAAGATGTCCAAGCGAGAGTTTATCAAAAACACATGTCGAGCTGCGGGTGAAGTGAGTAATGACTTAGCAGGTCATCTCTATGACAACATATACCTGGCAGGTCATGTGGCGCCTTCCTCACACTGTGAAGTATAGAATGGGTTTACCCTAACAATACTACTCATTAGTGCTTTCAAATATACAAACTTCCTCCGTCAAGTTTGTAAGAACCTCAAGAGGAATAGACATTTTTCTGTTTTCCATTTCGTTTTGGAGGGGTGGTTATTTATTTTATTTTCACATTAGAATATTACAATATTAGAACTGATGTTAATTGAATATTTTCATTTATTTTTGAAGACACTGTTTCCCCACACTGCGCTGTTTAGTTAACATAATAAAAGTCATATTTGCCATGGTGCCTATTAAAACCATACACTACAAGTTACCGGTACATATGTTTTCTAAGACAGAGGGGTTGAGAATAAACTGTCTATAGAACTGAAACCTTTTATAACAGATGTGCAGCCCTTCTATTATCTTTTAAAGATGAGTAATGTACACAAGAGTATATGTATATGTAAACTCTCTCTCTTACATGAGACCCGTGAAGGTCCGGGTTACCTTCAGTAACCCATGCTTGTCGTAAGAGGCGACTAACAGTATCTGGTGGTCAGGCTCGCTGGCTTGGTTGACACATATCATCGGTTCCCAATTTCACAGATCAATGCCCATGTTGGTGATCACTGGATTGTCTGGTCCAGACTCTATTAATTTACAGACTGCCGCCATATAGCTGGAATATTGCTGAGTGCGGCGTAAAGCTGAACTCACTCACTCTTACATGAGGGAGCTTATTGAGATTACATACTGGTCTAGAGGTTTGTCAGGGGCGCTTGCTGTATTTTTTTTCTCAAGACACTTCCTACCCCTTATATACATGAGCAATCCCTTAATATCATTCAGACAAACAACTGTACCATTTCTTCAAGACCATCGTACAGCTCTGATAAAATTTGGTGACTCCCCCAGCCCTTTCGTCCCAGTCATGTATTCAATACCAACCCCACCCAATCCCTTAGTATGGCAGATACAGTATATTACTGAAAGGGGTATTATGTTTAAAGCCCTTTTTGGCAATAATTTCGCTCACCAGCAGTTGGCTAATCCATGTCAGGGTGTAGTGATGCTTTTATGTGTAGGTTACCCTATCTCCTAAAGCTAGTTCCGAAAGACCCGAGATTATTTAATATTATTTGATGTGCACATTGGCTGCATGCATAGGATCAATGTTTAGTTATTCAATCAGTGCTGACAACCTGTTGTTTAGAGTGAAAAGCCATGTATGTTTAATTTAGTTAAATACTGCCGATGGTTGCCATCACATAGTTTGAGTGGCTCCTTGTTTGCAGTTTTTGTTTTCGTATTTGTGTAATTGTTATTGAGAAGAATTATTTTGTATCCTAAAGCTATTATACTGTTTAGCCTGTGTACTCAAGTCTCCTCAGTTACCTGGTAGATATTTAGGACAAACAGCCTTTTTTGCTTCTTGAGCGAGCCTGTGGTAAAGTAGATAATTACATATATGTTAAGAGTATTTTCTTTATGTTTATCTAACATAAACCCTCTCAACAAATGATTTTTTTTTCAATTTTGCCTTCTCCCTTTTGGGTGTTTAGAAAGACAATTAATAAATAATTACAAATGTGTCTTAAAGCATGATGCAGAGATTTACAGCAGAAGTAAACAGTTCATTACTGAGTTCAACATGAATAATTTAGTATGTATTGGTAAAGACGTAGATGTCAGTTTGGAATTCACATGTTGGCTTCCCAAATACAGGTGTGATTGATTGAGTGAGTGAGTTTATTTTTACGCCGCACTCAGCAATATTCCAGCTATATGGCGGCGGTCTGTAAATAATCGAGTCTGGACCAGACAATCCAGTGATCAACAACATCAGCATCGATCTACGCAATTATGATACAGTGACGTGTCAACCACCCGATCCCGTTAGTTGCCTCTTACGACAAGCATGGGTTACTGAAGATCAATTCTAACATGGATCGTCACAGGTTATAGGTGTGATTGATTTATGGACATAATAATCGAAAATTAATCAGGGTTCAATAACATGATCACAGTGATGGTTATGTCGTGATATAACTGAAATATTGTTCTAAGCGGCGTTAAACCAAACACACTCACTCACTTACAGCAAAGGTCACAACAAATGTTATCTTTCGTGGCGTGGCCAAAGTGGTTTGATTGAAGGATTAATTATTCATTAAATCCCATGAAAATAGACAGATATGCAATTTGTAGGGCTGGCTATGGATATTAGATCATAAAGATGGGTAATTGTAACTAAATATTAATTGATTATCGATAAATATCGCAGAAGTAACTCAGTGTTCACGAATGGTGTTTCAAAGAAACAGGACATTGGGTCCTGTAAGTTTAAGATGTCTGTCTGAAAAAAATTAAACACACATTTCAGATTTAACATTTCTTATAATTGGCATTGAAATTATTAACAAACATAAGAAAAATTAAGATAAAATAAACAGCAAACAAGTGTCACATGTCACATATAACAACTTCAGTCAAAGTCATTGTGAAATATACAGTCAGACACTGGGGCCGGTGGGTTGTAGACTTCTATCGGACCGTTGGCCAGAATCTGCCGGATTTGTCAGAGGGTCAGACACTATTCGCGAACACTGAAGTAACTGCCAAAATGTCTGCAATTGAATATATTTCACATCACTGGTGAGTAGTGACATGTTGATCCATAGATTACTGTCAAAACAGCTTCCTGAACATATCGTAGAAGCAACCAATGATTAAAGTTTTAACTTTGTATGTTGTGTCAGTAAATTAAAACTCTAAACATAGTATAAATATTTTTGGATCACAAATATCGTTTCTGTACGATATTGTTGATGGCACAATTTCCATATCGATAATCATTAATATTTTTATCCTGTCAACGATATTTCCGATTATCGATCATTTTAGCCAGCCCCAGCAATGTGGAGGACCAGAATCCCCAATGTTGAGAGTATGGTCACAAGACATGTGTTGTTGTGTTTGTGTTGAAAACGTATCTCAATACTAACATGTCAGTTCTTTGTGGTACACTTTTGTCAGCATGAAACTATGTGTAGGAAGCAACTAAAATTGGCCATTTAGGATTGAGCATTTGACACACAAACAGATCCCTTGGTTTCAAAAGAACAAGTTGTTATGTGTTCATGTGGTACATTTTGTGGTAATGATTGGTGTAGTGAGTGATAACAAGCTTTAACTGACCTTTCATCAATTCTATGATAAAATCATATATGTTGTGTCATCACCATTCACACATGTCATGGTGTTCTCACCTGTGTCACAAGTAACAGCTGGGATAGTACTTTAATATTGCTAAAAGCAGCATCAAAACAAAACTGCCTCACTATTTCACCTGTGTAGCAAAACTGTGCTTCCGATGAGATAGATCCTTTGAACTGATGGATTAATATAAGTATTGGCAACCGTGAAACATCAAATTGTTTCAGAATCCATTACAATACAGTCACTCTATAAGTGCAGCAATCTTGAATGGGACTTGAACCTTTAAGATTAATTTCAGCATAAAATGCTGTAAAGAGGGTGGGTGATTTCAAACAGTTAGGGCTTCATTAAATAAGGGACCACTGAACCAATATGTTGCATGTTAATACAAGATAGAAGTACACATTAGAAAGCTAAGCTTTTATGTACAGCATGCATAATTCAATTCATGTTCTGGGGTGGGATGAAGGTGCTTGGTGTTTTCAGGCAAATTCTTAATTATGAATTAGTGAAAAAATATTTTAATGTCAAGCATGACTTCAGAAACTGATCAGTGAACATCTCGCTGGATGTTGATGACATTTTATCTGAAAGATATTAATCAATCTTCATTTATTAGGGAAAGTAATTACTTGTAGTTAAAGTCTTACTGAAAAATCAATATGGCGGAATCTGAAAATGGTTGGTCCCTTGCTCTGCTTGAATCTTGAATTCTTCTCTTTCTGTGACAGAAATTACATTGATGTTGAGATACTGACACAACATGTCAACACTATTTGACAAGAGGTAACAAGTTTGTGCTATGCAACTCATGTGAGATCTCCTGTCTTATACTGAGCCCTCCAAACCGGTGTTGTACTCATGTAAACTTCTCCAAGCATTTTGTTGTGGATCTGTGTCATATCTTGCCTTTATTGATTATTAATGTAGAAATGTACAATTAATTGTCTTGTGTTGAATAGATGTGACAATGTCTTGTCTCATTCTTGCTTCATTTGCAAATTTGTACAGGGTTAAAGATCTAATCTGACAGCCCTAGAAAGTGCTGCATGTTCTTGACACTGTTATCATGGCTCAAGTGTATTTTTATGTAAAGCATGAAAGTTACCTTGATTGTAGGACATTTTAGTCAAAATTCATGCGTATTCATCAACCATATCACACATTAGGCCTCAATGGTACGGTTAGTGAATACCTTTGAATATTGCTGACATGCCTTGCCTTGATATTTCTGTTTTGTTCTGTTACTTCCACCTATTTCATTTACCACTTAACTGAATCCCTTTGAACCAGGTCATAGGCATGGCACCAGAGAGAGTACAGGAATATTAGTGCCAATAATGGTATTACTGAAAGAAAATGCACATATTCCAATGAAATATTTTTATGAAACCAATACAAGAGTTAAATACTGATGGAGCAGAATGACATCATATACTATTTTGTTTATGCTAACATGCTAGCATTAGATACTTTGAGTAATCACATCAGTAGGAGTGCATATTCCAGATATATTTAATATTGATATATGGTCAGCTGATTGTTGTGAAATGCTAACCTAAAACCTTATCCAGTGTGGATAATTTGTTTTTGTTGATTACTAATTTATATGGAATGTTTGCAGTTGTTGTTGACATATTACACTATACTCAGACACAGCTTTCTTCAAAAGAAGATGTTGTCTGTTTTGTTTAACACGCCGAGATTTTATCTCATATTTTGTTGACACTCTGACACTGATTTTGTTGAATGTGAAGGCTCAAAAGCTATAGCATCAACCTGATTCTGCACAATATTTTCTCATATTGCAACGTACAGGAGAAAAAAAGGCGAACATACAGTGTTACCACATGGTTACTATTTATCCTTGGACTCACATTTCTTTGTTTCACAGTGCGTGATTCGTGTAGTAATGATACTCAGTGAGGAGAAAGAAAAATTAAGGCTAACATTTTTCAGATTTTGTTTTAGGATTGTTAAGAGTTACTAAAGTATCTTCCCATTACCAACCTTTATGTGGTGATAAATAATTCAATACCTATTTCTGTTGTATACATACAGATAAAACCCCAAACAAATGGTGTCATTCATATTGAACAACAACAGCTTCAGAAACTTTATATAGACTGCTCAAAAGAAGTTAAGGATCACATTCGTTTATATTACTGTAGTTAATCTGTCACAACATGCATTGGCAAAAAATAAATGTTTTTCATCCCTTAAGACACTCTCCGCATCTAGAAATGTGTCGATGAAATTTTTATGTTGAAGACATTTTCTCAATCTTTTTTTGAGGGGTAAATAATTACTCTCATTTACAGCTCTTGTTATTTTGAATGAATGACACTGTTAGGTTTTTTTCCAGGATTGACTGTGCCTCCCCTAGTGGTGGTGTGTCCTCTTGATAGGTTTACAGTCAGGTATGCTATCTTGGGGTGAAACAGTATACCGCAGTATTAGTAGAACCGCGATATTTTGCCTTTGGTTCGGTGTACCATAATGCAATCCAAAAATTCGGTATTTTCGGTTTTCGTACCATTCTTCTATCCAGTCATAAAGTGACAGTTTTGTTCATTCAAAATAAGAAAGATTGGTTATTTTCCCCCATGTTATTAAGCAATGTAAGGTTTGGCTCTTGTTGTCAATTTTCTGCGTTATGATCAGGGGCCATGTGCACAAAGCGATCTTAGCGCTACGACTATCTTAAGCCTATATTGGAGAATGGGAGTTACAATCATTGATCATTGTAGCGCTAAGATCGCTTTGTGCAAGTGGACCCATATCTCATATACCGAACCGAAGGCCTTGTACCGTACTGTGGTAAGAGCGTACCATTTTACCCCTAATGCTATCATTACTTTAATATGAAGATACATGTTGTGCTGGTATAAAGTGTAGCAAAGTGAATCAGTACAGCCCCAATTGTACTAATGCTTTTTATGACATTGCTGTTGGCAGACATTTCAAATGAGCAACACTTTCCTTTAAGGGTCAGTAGTGTTTTATCTCAGAGTACTTTACACTGATCTTGCTGATACAGCAGAAACCGAGTATTTGATGTGCATGCATCACCAACATAATAATGAAACTGTACTGCTGAACCAACTTATTGAAAATGATGACCTAACAACTGAACATGTGGATCTGCATAATTTGTGCAGTCCACATCAGCAAGGCTGGAAGGTGTGATCAGTTATACAGATGTGTTGAGTCAAGCTGGTGAATTTTCTGATCCAAATGGAAAATGGACTTCACTTGCATACCATGAAACTCAACTTCAGTTCCCTGTTCAATGGTAGTCAGGTTAATAATTGCTTATTGAACTATAAGTTTATGCTAACATCTTGCAATGAGTATCTGATAGGGGGAAAAGCAGTTGAGGAAATCAGATTCTGTTGTCTGGCTGCACAGAAGGTATGGACAAGGTCCATCTTTCTGGGCCTTCATTGTCCAATGCTTCTACCTTGTGTTGGTTGTGAGTAGGGCTGAGTTGGACATATGTAGTTGCTCTGAGATAACATGCTTTGGAGAACGAAGAAGCATTGTCATTTTGAATAGAAGGGTAATATTCTTAAATGTGTACGAGATCTCTGAATTTATTTATTTGTTTATTTATTTTTTTTCTCAGAGCTGGATTGTTGTGATTTGACATTTTATGTTTAATTTTTGTTTTACATATTTAACAACACTAACCATTTACTGCAGTGTTTTCTTGGGAGCTTTAGTGAAAAGTCTGATTGATTTATTATGAAACAATAAATAAAATAGGATTTTGGAGTAGGAAATTTACAGATGTAAAGACTGTGGTCAGATCCACAAAGCGTTCGTAACATTTGACCTGTAACTCCTTAGTATACCTTAGGCTTACGAATGTCATACTGTTTTATTAATCAGCATGCAGAGAGGTTAAACTTACTAGTAGACATTTAGTATTGTTTACTTAAATGGGTTAACAAATATTCCTGCAGTGTCATGATGCTGCTAACAAACTGAAAATTTGTGAGGACAGCAGGGTTTTTGGTTGCCAGAATCTGGATGTACTCATCCTTTGACTTCTAAGTGTGTTGTCATGGCGACAGTTAGAGTAAACAATTTCTCTAACTTTGTTGAAGTGCTCTTATGATATAAAGATGTTATATAATGTATTCAATAGAGGCTGTGATCAAAATTTTGTAAATATATTTTTGTAATAAAAATAAAATTAACACTGATGGTTTATTGTCTGTTGTAACATTGTATCGCTATTATTCTAGAGTGGATTGTTGTACAATCTCTCAATGACAATCCAGATCTTCATTGTGAACATCGTTCACATACTCCCTAGGACAATCCAGATCTTCATGTTTACCATCATTCCACATATTCCCGATGACAGTCCAGATCTTCATCGTTGACATTGCCCCACATACACCCAATGACAATCCAAATCTTCATTACCATTGTTCCACATATTCCCGATGACAGTCCAGATCTTCATTACCATTGTTCCACTTACTCCCAATGACAATCCAGATCTTCATTACCATTGTTCCACATACTCCCAATGACAATCCAGATCTTCATTACCATTGTTCCACATACTCCCAATGACAATCCAGATCTTCGTTACCATTGTTCCACATACTCCAAATGACAATCCAGATCTTCATATTTTCCATCATTGCACATACTCCCAATGACAATCCAGATCTTCCTATTTACCACTGTTCCACAATCTCTCAATGACAATCCAGATCTTCTTATTTACCACTGTTCCACAATCTCTCAATGACAATCCAGATCTTAATGTTTACCATCGTTCAACTTACTCCTGATGACAATCCAGATCGTCATATTTACCATTGTTCCACATACTGCTGATGACATTTCAGATCTTCATATTAAAAATCCTTCCCCATGCTCCCGATGACAATCCAGATCTTCATATTTACCACCGTTCCATTTACTCACAATGACCACGAGTTCCAGTGATGTTCCACATTTTCCGGATATCAAGTGCGGCCAATGTAGTCCACGCTCCAGAACTACATGTGAAGGGTGGCTGAAAACAAACGTCCGAACTGACTTCGATAAACTGCATTGAGGTGAGGTTAGGTGACATTGGGTTTTACGTCGTGCTCGAGAATATTTCGCTCATATGACGACGTGCATGCGTGTGTATGTGCGGCTGCTTGTACTAGCCCGGACTTAAGCCGGTTTTATAGTGCTAGCCCACTGAGATACCATGCCGCAGTGAAGCAAGAATACCCCACTCAGACACATTATACTGACTCCGAGCCGACCAGTCCTTGTTGTACCCATTAATGCCGAGTGCCAGGCAGGGACCAACAAGTACCACATTTGAACGTCTTTTGGTATGACGCGGTCGGGGATCGAACCCGAGACCTTCCGCTCTCCGATAAACTGCATTGATACAGATGAATACTGAGTATTTTTCAACATAATCTATTCTGTGGTCCACACACTCATGTCAACAATGCCGGAGTGCCATGCCACACTAGGGTAGGTATCCTAAGCCCTTCACAACAGAAATGTTTATTGAAATTCAACGAACGCTGCACTGAAATATGTACGCTTGTATAATGATAATCTGTAAATAATTGAGTCTAGTCCAGGCAATACTGAGCGCATGCCGCCGTGGTACAATAACACGCAATCAACTTGACCACTCGATCGTACGACCAGTAAAAGACGTGTGTCAGCCAAATCAGCGAGCCTGACCACCCGATCCCATGAAGACTATCGGGATCGGGTGGTCAGGCTCGCTGATTTGGCTGACACACGTCATCGTATCCCAGTTGCGTTGATTGATGCTCATGCTGTTGATCACTGGATTGTCTGGTCAAGACTCAATCATTTACAGACCGTCGCCATTTAGCTGGAATATTGCTGAGTGCGGCGTTAAACAACAAACAAAAAGAGCAAACATTGGTATGGATCACATTTAACTGCTTCAACACAGGGTTTTGTCTATTCAGGTAGCTTAACCAATAAAAAAAGTCCTCTTTGAATAACTTTTTCCTTATTTTATGTTCTCTGTAGTGTTGCGTCCTATTCTAACCTATCGTCGTTGGTTCGAAAGCCGGTTCGTCCTGCCAATAGTGGAAAACAGCTGAGACCTGCATCAATTTGGACCTTCCCAATCTGACACCCCAATACAGCTTACATACCGATCAAAGAAGCACTGAACCAAACACACTCACTCACTCTGTTGAAGTGTTTTATATCAGTCGGTGAGCGTCAGGTATAGTCACTCCCTGTAAATGACTGAGTCAAGGTCAGGCGCTATGTATTATATGCAATAGACCGTAGAACGTCACCGAGTTGATTTAGTTGCAACATAATGCTTGTGACCATTGTCCATCGTAGGTAGTTGCCGGGGAGTTGGTTTAATGTATATATACATACAGAGTTACCATGGCACGGTAAGATACAACATGTAAAACATATATAAAAATAATTTATTAGCATAAATATTCACATACAGATCAAAGCTCCAAACAAAGCAACATTTAATTCAAATATATCAGTTTGAGGGTACCCGATATGGCGCCATTGTTTTCGAACTGCCATCCAAAGTCAGAAAGTGGACAACAACTCGTCTACAAAGTGTTAAATGTCCAAATCATCATTATCGTCTACACGTGTGTTGCTAAAAAAAAGCAACCTCAGCAATGACTACTGGAACGTATAATTTTCGGCAGTATTGCATAAAGACAACATGACAGTTTGATTCGTATTAATCTGAAGCTCGATTTAAAATTGTCTGCCTTTTGCGTTCTGCGTGTGTGTATGAGTTTTTATGCGAACAACCGATCCGAATATTTGAAGCATAACTTCGGATTCCTGTGATCGAATTACGGACATACCTGGACTATGAAGTTATGGTACCATTATATATCGCGGAATAGATATTGTTGTCATGTACAGAAATCGGATCAAACAGTCCCATCGATTCAGATAGTAGATGCAATAAGCCTATCTGAAATTCAGGTTAATGTAAAATTGAAAAGCAAGGATATATTTTTAATGATTTTCAGATATTCAGATGATTTTCCATATTGGATGGTCAGTATAAAAGATTTGTTGAAATAATTTTGCTTTACAAAAGTGTACTATTTCTTTGAATGACAAGTGCAATTTTCGGGGCTTAATTTCTATTTTGTTCAAAGATTTGGAGGGATTTTGCTTTTATTCCAAACATATTTGCATTGGATCTGGTAATAAAACAAAGAATAAAAAACATCGTCTAAGTACAAGTGTGCAATAATCTCAAGAAAGTATTTCCAAGGAACACTGTGAGAATTGTCCTGTTATCGAGAAACGTCAATGTCAATGTCGTGTGTTACAGTCAGATTGGCTGGTCAACATGTAGCAAGGAGAAGGACAACGACCGAAATGGTAGTCATCAGTGAGTAATTAGGTCTTCATCCGCCACAAATGAGTTCCAGCTCCGTGCTCCCTCAAACCCATTTGTATCGTGAAAGTAGTCCGCCTGGGCCTGTCGGATCTCTTCCTCAGTGTTCATGACAAACGGTCCTGCAAATACATCGGGAACACACTGTGGTATTGACATGTATTCATTTCCAAAACTGGGCATTGTCTGGTACACAGGGTGGGACATTCTGAAAAAAACACAAACCCGTTTACTGGACCACGGCAAAACTACAAAAAGTACCTTGCTTATAATTCGCAATTTTGGAATCCGTTGACCTTTGCCATCATGACATAGTTTGCAGACCGTACAACTCTACTGGGTTCTGTGTTATCTTAGTCTTCGATCAAAGGTATCGAATCATATCATGAAGATAAAACTATGCAAGTGATGAACCGAAAACATGTAGTTTTCATATTTCTGAACTCTTGTACGATAAAAACAGATGATTTCCTTCAAGTATCCTGTCTCGATGACACTTGATCCTTGCCAATTGCCTCATATAAAATTACTCAGTCCTGGGCAAGCGCCGTCTACCCAGGTAACCAGACTGCAAATATTACTGCGAAGCGCTGGACATATGTAATTCTGATATATAGCCGTATTCAAGGGATGGCCTCAGTGGGATGCACGTGGACAACACCTTTACAACAAGCATATGAACAAGCATAATTTCGCCGCCTTTATGTCATTGCGGGGGACACCAAGCATGGGCATGACAAATACACATTGTGTCATGTGTGGAACCTCTCCCGTGCCTTCCTCATGTCACAGGCTTAAACCACAAGGCTACCCCACCGCCCCGACGAAATGTAGTCACACGAGGAGCGACCAAGGTGTGAGATATAACTCGCAGCAGGCTTGTAGAATATGTTACCTTTTAAACGTAAGATTAAAACATGGTTTAAACGGGAGACCAGCGTGGAACGGACACGGAAGTAAACGAAACACATACAAATTCATCAGTTCTAAATACACGGCCACGCCCACTGTGGGACTTGGAGGCGACATGACTGGGTTTATGTGTACTTTAACTAGTGAAAGCTCAGAGGGAAAGTTTGCCAGTCTAAGTAAACTAAGGCTCAGTATTAGTCGTTACACTGCTATACTGAGTCTAACAAAACCTTGTAGAATGTCGCGTCAGCTACCCTTTTGGACTTACCAATCAGAACACAGCTTACCAAATCGCGAAAGTTAATATTTGCACATACCGTTTGAACCTTTACCTCAAAAAACTCGAACGATTCCGAATGCTGTTTTACGCACGATCGCTTCCGAATGATACATGCACGCAATGAGTAAACAGTCGCTGAAAATAACATTTTTTTTCTATATTCAAGGATGTCATCTTGCGAAAATATAAGCAAATATACTCTCCCAAAAAAAGAAACGCATATAGGAATTTCAACTGTATTTTTATGTTTATTTTGAAACATCTTGTAGGCTTTATGAGCCAATGAAATACAGTATTTGGCACCAACTCGAGGACAGTCAGTTTGAGTGTCACATGGAGACGTGTGGTGGCGCTGAAGTCAATGCCTCGTGTGACCACCGTGGGCATCCAGAACTGCACGGCATCGCCTCGGCATCGAACGAATAAGTCTCAGAATCTCGTGTTGCCCAATCGCAGCCCACTCTGCCTGTAGTGCCTGTGCGAGTTGCTGAAGATTCTGGGGCTGAAGGTTACGGCGTTGCACCCGTCTGTCCAGGGCATCCCACAGTTGTTCGATCGAGTTTAAGTCCGGTGATCTTGAGGGTCAGGGGAGCACATTGATGTTGTGGTTCTGGAGGAAGTCTCTAGTGTGACGTGCTGTGTGGGGCCTGGCATTGTCCTGTTGAAACAACTCCCTCTGGCGATCAATGATTGGAAGGAGGTGTGGGCGTAGGATTTCGTCACAGTACCGTTGAGCTGTCAGGTTGCCCTGGATCATCACCAAATCACTTCTCCTACGGCAGGTGGTCCCCCCACATCATAACACTGCCCCGGCCAAATCTGTCCACCTGGGGAACGCAAGCGTCGGCGAAACGTTCACGTCGACGTCTGTACTTCCATCGCGTCGTTCCAATAGAAATCGTGATTCATCACTGAACCAGATTCTACGCCAATTCGGTAGGTTCCAGGCCTGAACGTTGGTGCACCATTGAACTCGATGTCGACGATGTTGTTGAAGCACAGGGCCAATATAAGGTCTTCTGGCACGTAAACCAGCCTCTCTCAACCTGTTCCTGACGGTCTGTGCAGAAAACCTCCTCAATCCGGGTATTTGTCGAGCGGTACTGGTCGCCGTAGCTGTTCGATGATGCAGGTGATGTACCCGGATGTAGCGATCCTGCGCCGCAGTGGTCGCTCGAGGTCGCCCACTACGAGGGGCATCTGCTACCGAATTCTGCCGGCGATATCTCTCCCAGAGCCGTGAAATTGTGCTTTGGTGAACATTCATGCGTCGGGCAACTGCACGTTGAGACTGGCCAGCTTCAAGCAAACCAATGGCGATATGACGGTTGGCTTCACTTAGACGTGGCATTTTGCGTTCGTCAACAATATTCCAAATACAGTGAATAATCGACAGACAGCGATCAACCTTTTATACCCATCATTGAGACTATCTGATCCCCAACTTTCTCGTGCATTGCATGTGAATTGTGTATTCTGTGACACTACACGCAAAAATTGAAAATCATGCTGTTAAATACGGGTATTTTACGGATGGTGCGTTTTGTTGTGATATTTCAAAACATAAACACCATAGGACTCATAAACAGAGCAAAACCTTTTGTAAAATGAATCACGTTTTAATTCATTGCTACATGAAATTGCTATTTTCATGATGCGTTTCCTTTTGGGGAGAGTATATTAACCATGTCATTAGAAACCCATACGCGTATATACTGCAGGTCAAATATCTCTGTTTTATGCGGATTTTCGTATGTTGATAGATCAGTGTCAGCGACCAGCAAAGAGAGAAAATCCAAAAACCGTTTTGTAAGTCCCGCCGAACCCTAACAAGTAGTCGTTGTCTGATTGGTTAAATCCGCTCGGCCGTCTCGCGTTTGATTGGACGGTCATAGGTCGCTCAAAGTTTAGCTGACGCGACCTTCTAATATGTTTTGTTAGACTCAGTGTAGTAGTTTAACGAATAATACTCAGCCTACAACCGTGGAACCAGTTTTTGGCGCGACTTATCACCCCAGTTAAGGACACCAAGTTGAAATGTAACCGTCATTCAACTCAGGAAATGAATACGGTACATGACTGCATGTTGGCCAATTCTAATCAAGAACATCCTGGCTGGGATGGATAGCAAGGGAACTAGGGCCACGTGACAGAGATCTATTTGATGAAGCCAATGAAAACTCATCCCCACCCACACAGACACACACATAATACACTGACACGCCATGATAACTGGAAAACTGTTCCAAAGCGGCATTAAACCCAATCCAACCATTCAGTCACTTAAATGTAATAAAAAAGATTATATACATGTGTTAGGAAAGTAGAATCTCAATGATGATGCAATGAAACAAAACAAACTGAATGACTGTTACATACACCAGGCAGACAAGATGAGTTGTTAGTAAGCTAGGTTCTATTCTTCTCATATTCTGAGTTCCAGGAAGCTGCCTTTTCAAAACCATTCTTTCCTGTCTGGTAGTCAGTGATAGCCTGTCGAATCTCAGCCTGTGTCGTCATCACGAATGGCCCTGAAAGGTGAAGGTTATTGCCTCATTCTGAAGTGCGGTTGCCACGGAAGCAAAAGGTTATTCCGTAAGGAATTAGGGGCACTTCGTCAATGGAATGCTCATACTGCATTGACAAGATGTACAGACGGGCTGGAGAGTATCGCGAGATTCTCTGAGATGTTTGCTGTTTCAGTCGATATTTACATCATGCTCGTTCATATGATTGGCGAGACTGGTCTAACGACAAATTGTACCTGATACTGGTAGTGTTAACTGTTGAAGCTTATCCGTCAGGCTGGACGCCGTTGTACACAAGCTCTACTATAGAACTTAGGTAGGTGAGGGTAACTCCCATACCTTAACATAGCTTCAACAGAGTCGTAGGTTAGCCCTAAGGTTGTCTTGTACAACGGTAACGTCGCTCTAAGGTTATCTAAGTCTCTTTAGCCTCACCTCTGACAAGTCCTGCACTAACGGCTCTTAAGGTACCAAAATATATATATTTCAGTTCCCGTTGGACACAGTTCACGGCAATAGAAACGGGAAGATTACACAGGGGACTGAACAGAGAGAAGAAAACTTTACCCTCATGTGGTGGGTATGTAGTTGCTTTGTGTTTGGTAGTTTGTTTCCCTATCTAATTGCTGTAACATATCTAATATATTCAAGTATATTACTAGTAACTGTCTGCCTGCAAGATCAAATGACTTGAGTGCCGAACATACAGCATGGGCGGATACAGCTTTTTGAGAAAGGGGTGGGGGTGGTGCACACTATTGAGAAAAGGAGGGGTGCACACTTCATTTTTACCCGAGTTTTAATGGTCATTTAACAAACTTTCAGCACAAAAGTGGGGGTGCGCACCCCTGCACCCCCCTCTGGATCCGCCTATGTACAGTGTTACTGCCTGCGAAGGTGAAAGCTACGTACCATGTTGTACGATGGGCTCGTTGAGAGGCTTGCCCCCGATCAGCACGAAGTGGCATGTTTCAGAACCCTGGGAATATAAGAAGTAGACAGATGTAACAAATATATTACTTCACTTCCCGTCTTGTAGCGTTTTGTTCTTTGAATGAACGACCCGTGATGATCCGGGTTAGAATTGGTCTTCAGTAACCCAAACTTGTCGCAAGAGGCGACTAACGGGATCGGGTGGTCAGGCTCGCTGACTTGGTTGACACATGTCATCATATCCCAGTTGCATAGATCGATGCTCATGATGTTGATCACTGGATTGTCTTGTCCAGGCGATTATTTAGACCGCCGCCATGTAGCTGGAATATTGCTGAGTGCGGCGTAAAACAACAACCAACCAAATCTTTACATGAACAGAATGTTGTGATGTAAAACCATTGCAGAGAATATATGACAGATGGTGGTATAGAAACACTGATATCCTAAACACATGTATACCCAACACCAGTTTCCTATTATCAATATGTTGCAGGCAAACAGTAACGTGAACCATATATATTTTTCCTTTTCTTTCTTGAAGACAGGCTTTTCACCAGTTGTAAATAGTCACACCTTGTTTTCAATGTCAATTCTGTCTCCTTCCCCGCCAAGAACCAGGGTGTGATGAGGCAATCCATCCCTCCCACCTGTAACGGTAGACAATACTAGACATCGTGAACAATACAACACCCTGTATGTATAAGTGTATTTATATCTTTACAGAGGATTATATGTTATTTAATTATCCATGTTATACATGATGTGTTTACTCTCATTGCAGATCTCCATCATTTATGATCGACCGTGAATAAACAGTCATCTGTAAAAAGTATTGCCTACTTATTTATGATGGAGATCTGCCACCTCTGCAACTTGGTACATCAGAGATTCTAACCTACAGTTTCAAGACACAAACATGCCAGTCGTTGGATGCCCTATTCCGTCATGCGACTTCGTGACAGAAGACCTTGATTCTGTGGTGGTAGCAGCACTCTTAACAGCCCATGCAACAGTCCACACTACAGGACCTGCCATCTCTGCAAAAGTAGAAAAAGTGAAACGACCAAGCATATCATCTGCTGGAACAAGCGAAGATTGGTCATACTTTCAATCCAGATGGAAAGACTATGTCCAGGCGACCAAGGTCACAGGGAAGGACCGCGTTGTACAGCTTCTTGAATGCTGTGACGAGACACTGCGCAGAGATCTCACACGTTCGGCTGGCGGATCCCTCACAGAAAAATCCGAGGAAGATGTCCTGAAGGCCATTAGACTCCTTGCTGTCAGAGAGGAGAACACCATGGTAGCTCGCGTTACCCTCCACAGCATGACTCAGGATCGAGATGAAACTGTTCGCTCCTTCGGTGCCAGGCTAAGAGGTCAGGCTGGCGTCTGCAAATTCACCATTGCATGTCCAGGGTGCCATCAGGAGGTGAACTACACAGAGACAATCCTACGCGACGTACTCACCCGTGGACTAAATGACCCTGAAATCCAGTTAGATCTCCTTGGAGACAAGAACCAAGACATGAATCTCGAACAGGTGTTTCAATTTGTGGAAGCCAAGGAATCAGGCAAACGCTCGGCATCTCGACTTCTGGACTCCCAGTCTGTGGAAGCTGTTAGCAGTGGCTACCGAAGAAACAAGAACACAGCTGTTAATTCATCCAAGAATCTGGATACGTCCGAGTCATGCTTCTACTGTGGAAGAAAGGGGCATGGAAAAAGTGCATCCCTGAAAATCAGGAAAAAACACTGTCCTGCCTTCGGTCGCATGTGTTCATCCTGTAACCGCTACAATCACTTTGACACAGTGTGCCAGAGCAAAGTGAAACTGAGAGCTGAGAAGCCCCCACGGACGGTTGAGGAAAATGAAGGTGCGGTCTTTGACATGCTCTGCTCACTCACTGACATCAGCTGGCGCCAAGGAAAGAAGACTCTTCACCTTGATCACCACCTATATGATCAGCTGACGGACACATGGACTAAACAAGCCTCCCGGCCCCAGCCCTTCCTCAACCTATCGATGGCTGTCCATGCAGAAGACTATGACAGACTAGGCTTTGGCTCAATGTTATCCTCAAGACCAAGAAGAGCCTCTGTTGTCGTCATGGCAGACACAGGTTGTCAGAGCTGCCTTGCTGGCATTAAGGTCGCACACAAACTTGGACTGAAAACACAGAATCTCATTCCGGTGACTCTCAAGATGCGTGCTGCCAATAACAGGGGTATCAATATCCTTGGTGCCCTCATCACACGGCTGTATGGCAGGAGCCCAACAGGGAAAACAATTGAAACAAGACAGGTGGTCTATATCACAGACAACTCTGACAAGTTCTTCCTCAGTCGTGAGGCTTGTATCTCACTGGGGATGATCACAGGAAATTTTCCCACAATTGGGGAAGTGCCCAGAAATGACAGCTTCAATGATGATTCTACACTAAGCGATACTTCAGAGATAAATGATGTGAAATGTGACTGCCCAAAGCGTGGACCACCTCCTAAATTGCCAACCAAACTACCTTTCCCCCGCAACAGAAGAGAACCGCGGTAAACTGGAAGAATACCTACTTGACCTCTATAAGTCCAGCACATTCAACATCTGCGAGCACCAACCTCTCCCCCTCATGGATGGACCTCCCATGAAACTGATGGTCGATCTGGACGCCCAGCCTGTTGCTCACCACACTCCTGTCCCTGTCCCACTTCACTGGCAGAAAGACGTCAAAGCCGGACTAGACCAGGATGTCAGACTAGGTGTGCTGGAGCCAGTGCCAATTGGAGAACCGGTTACATGGTGCCACAGAATGGTCGTCTGTCCAAAGAAGAATGGCAAGCCGCGACGCACTGTTGACTTTCAGGCTCTCAATGCCCATGCCATTAGAGAGACACATCACACACAATCCCCCCTTCCACCAAGCCAGATCAGTGCCACAGAATAAGAAGAAATCTGTCTTCGATGCATGGAATGGCTACCACAGTGTCCCCATTCGAGATGAGGACAAACACCTTACCACATTTATCACCCCATGGGGCCGATATAGATATCGCACTGCTCCACAAGGATATATCGCCTCCGGAGATGGATACACAAGACGCTTTGACGAGATTGTGTCTGATGTGCCAAACAAAACCAAGTGTGTGGATGACGCACTCCTGTGGGCTGATGACATTGAGAAATCCTTCTTCCAGGCATGTAATTGGCTTGACATCTGTGGAAGGAATGGCATTACTTTAAACCCTGAAAAGTTCACTTTTGCACAAGACACCGTGGAGTTTGCAGGCTTTGAGATTACTCGTACCAGTGTTCGACCTTGCTTGAAGTACCTACAGGCCATCATGGACTTTCCTACACCAAAGAACATAACGGACATGCGTTCTTGGTTTGGACTCGTCAATCAAGTGTCATACGCATTCAGCATGGCTGAGAGGATGCAGTCTTTTCGTCAACTTCTAAAGCCTGGAACACCATTTCGTTGGGATGACAATCTGGACCGCTTGTTTCAAGAATCCAAGACCGTCATTGTCAATGAGATTGAGAAAGGTGTGCGCATCTTTGACGCAAACAAACCGACCTGTCTTGCAACAGACTGGTCGAAACACGGAATTGGATTTTGGCTCTTCCAGAAGCACTGTCAATGCCCAAAGACCCTGCCATTTTGCTGTAGAGATGGATGGAAAATCACCCTGGTAGGAAGTCGTTTCACCCACGCCGCGGAATCCCGCTATGCACCGGTCGAGGGGGAAGCACTAGCAGTGGTTGATGCCCTGGAGAAAGCAAGGTATTTTGTCCTTGGATGTAATGATTTGACCATTGCAGTTGACCACAAACCTCTACTAAAGATCTTTGGGGATCGATCACTTGAATGCATCTCGAATGCTCGACTACGTAACCTGAAGGAAAAGACCCTGCGGTACAAATTCCACATGGTTCACATCCCTGGAGCCAAACACAGAGCTGCCGATGCTGTATCTCGTCACCCAACTGGTAACCCTGAGAGGATAGTTCTAGTGGATGATATTGCAGCCATGGACTGTACTGAACTTTCCCCTTCTCTGGATGTTTGTCATAACATCCTTGCCTCCATCAGATGCAGTGAAGAACCTGACTACAGTGTAGAGGATGCCACTCTCCAGTCTGCTGCATCTGCAATCAGCTCCTTGGAACCCATCACGTGGAACAAGGTGAAAGTTGCCACCACTAGCGATGTATCCATGGCCAAACTCGTTGATCTTATTGAAACTGGGATGCCAGAATCCCGCCTTGAACTTCCTACCGCACTACGTGAATATCATCAGTTCAGAGAGCATCTCCACACGGTAGACGGAGTTGTGCTATACAAGGACCGGATTGTGATCCCACCAGCACTACGTGAAGATGCCCTTACTGCCCTCCATTCTGCACACCAAGGCGTCTCATCAATGATGTCCAGAGCTGAAGCATCTATCTTCTGGCCCGGACTCACATTGGCCGTTACAACCCTCCGAACCAACTGTGCTCACTGCAATCGGATGGCTCCATCACAACCAACAGCCCCACCAACACCACTAGTATACCCATCTTACCCCTTCCAATGTCTATGCGCTGACTTCTTTCATTACAAGGGTGTCAACTATCTGGTGCTGGTCGACAGATACTCCAACTGGCCAATAGTGGAGAGAACTGCTGGAGGTGCACCTGGACTCATCAACTGCTTACGACGCACATTTGTCACATTTGGCATACCTGATGAACTTTCCTCTGATGGGGGGACCCGAATTCACAGCCTCTGCAACCAGAGAGTTCCTTCACACATGGTCAGTACATCATCGACTATCTTCTGTCGCCTTCCCCCACAGCAACTGCAGGGCAGAAATTGGCGTGAAGACAGTCAAACGCATGATCACTGACAACACCGGACCCCAAGGTGAACTTGACACGGATGCTTTCCAGCGGGCAATGCTTCAGTACAGGAACACCCCAGACAGAGACACAAAGTTATCTCCTGCTATGTGTGTTTTTGGCAGAGCCATCAAGGACTTCATCCCCATCCTACCCGGTCGGTACAAACCTCATGAGACATGGAGCGATACACTATTACTGAGGGAGGAGGCACTCAGAAACCGACATATGAAGATGGCAGAACGTCTCACCCAGCACACCAAACAGCTCCCACCTCTCGCAGTTGGTGACTTTGTCAGAATCCAGAACCAGATAGGGCCTCACCCTCTCAAATGGGACAAAACAGGATGTGTGGTCGAAGTTCGTCAATTCGACCAGTATGTTGTACGGGTAGACGGATCAGGTAGAGTGACCCTACGCAATCGGAAGTTCCTCAGGAAGTACATCCCTGCTTTCCAACCTCCATCTAGACGCTCAATCGCTGATGACTTGCCAAGGCCACAAACTTCTACCCTTGACAATACCACCACCCCCATACTATGTCCACATCCGGCTCAGTCAACATCAGAACACTTGACCACACCTACAACAGTCTCTACTGGTGACGAACAACGCACTCCGCATCAACAGCCAGTGCCGTCCAGACCAGCTGCTACGCCTGATGTCTCACAATCCACACCACCCTCACCTGATAGATCCCGTCCACTCTGTCCTGTGATCAGAGAACCCACTGTCCTGACAGAGTCACCAAGCATCGATCCTTCATCGACCCTAACAGTAGACACAAGTGTGATCCACCCACGACGTTCTACCCGCACCAAGAAAAAGCCAAACTGGCTGTCTGATTACGTGCATGTTATTGAGTCAGAATAGTCCCTGGGCCAAAGGACAGTCTACCCAGTGAAAGCCCTGAATGCTTTATTGCCAGTTTCTCTCTTTATTCCAGTTTGTTCCAAACGTTTAGACTTTTCCCAATCACTTAAGGACAATTCAAGACATTATGCTTTATTTAACTCAAACCCGAGTTCTAGTCAGAACTGTTTCTTTCAGTCCTTGCCACATCTTTGTCAAGATCCGACAATGACCTGGGGAGGGATAGAGGATTATATGTTATTTAATTATCCATGTTATACATGATGTGTTTACTCTCATTGCAGATCTCCATCATTTATGATCGACCGTGAATAAACAGTCATCTGTAAAAAGTATTGCCTACTTATTTTTTATACGCTTCTCCATAAATATCACCATCACCCCCACCCCGTAGCCATAAATTATGAACGGTCGCTTACGTGTTGAGAGGAATATTAAGATCTGCACCAACCTTTATACCATTGTAGGATTCTCCGGCGATCACCTTGACCGTGACCCCATCCTTGGACGACCTTGGGATGTTTTTGTCCAGGAGTTCCTGGTATGCAGGTTCCACCATTTTGTCCTTGGCGGCCAGATTGACCCACAGCTGAAGTCCGTGACCTTCTTGTTCACCGTGTGGCATCTCACAGTGCACCACACCCCTCCCCGCAGTCATCCACTACACAGGCAAAACAGTGAGTGAGTGAGTGTGGTTTTACGCCGCTTTTAATTCTATTCTAGTACTAGAAATTAGAAATGGGGTTCACACATTGTGCTCTTACCAGGTAACCGTGGCGTAGTGATAACGTTTTCAACGTAAACGGAAACCACTCCGCAAATAGGTCGTACAAAGTGAACCGATTTTGAGATTAAAACTGTTTTTATGTTAAATTGAAGTAAGCTACAAAATTTGATACCGATCAATATTTGATATACGAATGACGACTGCACCCATATTGTTTTGTTGTATCACAGTTACGTGTTATAGTCACGTGAAGCAGCGAAACTATAGTCCCAATATGGATTCCTCCAAATGCTGGCCACTGTGACCTATGGGACTGATACACGCTAACAAATTCTTACTTCTCCGTGCCTCCGGCGTCACCCACCTGCAGATCCCCAGCGCTGATGACGCCCTTGTGGCCACAGAAATCTTCATGTCGGAAGGAGCCGGACAACATATATGTCACCTGTGGTGACACAGAGACAACGAGGATCATGGAGTCATTAGTTCATGCGTGACAGGCCTTCGAACCGGTTAATAAAGTCAAACAAATACTAGTAGTGCTCAAGTATCAATCTAGCAGGTGAGTGCATGTTTGCTTTCAACATAGGATCTATGCTAATTCTCGCTCCTTCATCAGGTGAAATGTGTATAAAGAATAGACTGACTGACTGAGTTTGGTTTTACCCCGCTTTTAGCAATATTCCAGCGGGGAACATCACGGCGGGGAACACCAGAAATGGGCTTCACACATTGTACCCCTGTGGGAATTCGAACCCGGGTCTTCGGCGTGACCAGCCAACGCTTTAACCACTAGGCTACCCCACCGCCCATAAAACAGAATAGAAAGAAGTTGTTATCCATAGAACGTGTCATGTATTCATGTTTGTCCAACTTTTAAATGCCTTTCAAGGATCTTGAAGTGGAAGGAATGCCGGAAGTGCTGCATGTCTAGGTTTTTATCATATTGACGATGCGCAGTGAATATATCTCCTACAAAGCAAGAACCGGGTCGAACTTACTACCATACGATCCGGCGTCAGCTAATTTTGTCCACTTAGACAACGTGGCCAACGGCGCTGTAACTGTATTCCTGCAGTACATTGTATCAGTTTTACAAATAGCGCCGATTTAAAAACCCTGACTTCCTTTTAAGCAGAGTATTTCTGTATCGCTCTTGGTACTGACCGTCTCAAAGCCTCGGTGTGGGTGATCAGGGAATCCAGCAGGGGAGGCAACTTTGAACTCGTCCAGCATCAGGAAGGGATCAAGGTTCTGCAACTGTAGGAACACGTAATGGTTGAACTTCCAACTTTATTAGCATCTCATGTTTCCTGATATCCTTCCCGACGATGGCTGACAATTACAATTTTGCTTCTCGGTATAGCTCGCGGTGGTAACATCCTGCTCGAAACTTCAAGAACACATGGCAAAATTCTTTTAAAAATTGAATACATTTTATGTGACGTAAACATTTTACAAATGTATGTGTTTCATAGGGGCATCATACTTGTGTTTTGCACGTTAAGTTTGCAGTGTTTAAGCGACTGTTATCAGCCTACAGTAGAACATGGTTATAGCGAACACGGATATAGCGTACAAACGGATATAGCGAACAAATTTAAAAGTCCCGTCAACAGTCCTTTATAATATCATTAAAATTATACGTGTATATACCTTTTGGTAACGTATGTATTGTGTTTGTGAACCCCAATCATCAAATGTAAACTTTGTTTTGAACGGCAGTGAGTGAGTGGGTGTTTGAGTGAGTGAGTGAGTTGATTCAGGCCAGTAACAGTAGGCGCCAGGAACACCAATGACTGAAACCATCATCGAGCGATGATCCACGTCATTGTGGTACAATGTAACAACCTAAGCTTAGGCGGATCCAGAGGTAGATGTGTGTGTGTGTGTGTGTGTGTGTGTGTGTGTGTGTGTGTGTGTGTGTGTGACCCCCCTTCCCTTTTGTCCTCCAAGTGTATTAAATGACCATTTGTCATGAAAATGGGTGAAATGAACTGTGTAACCCCTACCCTCAAAAAGCTGTTTCCGCCCCTGCTATCGTTCACATAGTCCTCCTACGACAAGCAAGGGACACAGTAGTCATATTTTGGAATTGTCGCAGATTCATAACCATGTGAGCTCATGTCATACAAACTGAAGGTGTCCCCACCTCACTTCTTCCGACGCTTCTTCGTACACGTGCACCGACGCCCTCATCCTGCTCCACACTGAGCACATTGAGTATGACCTGCCTTGACATACCGGACGTGACGTTGGACGCGAACTTGAAGTGACCTTGACCTGCCTGGAAGAGGTCACTATGCGATGAGGTCACAGGGAGAAGGGAGATGATCAGACAGACGGTAAGGCTGACCCAACTAACATCAATCTGAAATGAAAGTTATGGCTGATTATTATAAGCAACATGTATATTCTTGTAAAATAATCATTGCTTGTTTCTCGAGATTGAGCTGACTGGTTATGCGGTTCTGTTTCAACAAGAAATCCCCTTCCTTTGATACTGTACCCTTGGTCTTCCTCGATTCATTTACGGTCAATTGAGACCTTTAACTAATGACAATATGCTGCAAAACAGAGGCATACACCCACACCCAGCCCAGACACAGACGGGTGGACGGACGGACACACACGCACACACACACACACGCCGCACACACACCCACGCGCGTGGAAGTCGACCTGTACGGAAGGATAATAACGATTTGTTATGCCTAATACTTCACTGCTTAACCACTACTTGAAATTAAATCAAGACAATGTAAATCCATGGTCGTGATATCAAATGTGACCAAAGCCTTATCCAGCCCCCTACCCATGTAAGTAGCAACAAATCAATTGCGAAACTCAGGAGTGTTTTCTTGTATCGACCTCGCTGAATGCACAGGGGCTTGTAACGCTAAAAACTGCCATCAAGGCATCTACTATCACTGACGGGGTCTTAGTACCATATAAAAGGAAAGGGATGTAACGAGGTCAACACACCAAGTTCGTGTCAGGGCGAATTCAACAATGATCACTGCATACAACCCTATTAAACTATACACGCATTAAAAGCCAATAGATTTACCTACAAAATGAGACACGGATCACATATTATATGGTACTAAGACCCCGTCAGTGATAGTAGATGCCTTGATGGCAGTTTTTAGCGTTACAAGCCCCTGTGGCTGAATGGAAGCCAATACTATATCAAGCTTGGCCATGTAGCCAGTCCAGCACCAGAATCAGCCTGTCCGTGTACTTATATATTGTAAAAGTGCTATACAGCAAGCCAAGAGTGTGTTCGACTTACCTTCAATGCAATAAACTACGTACCTTGCAGCCACAATATCACCAACAACGCGAATTGACAACAATGACTAAGCATGTTTCGGAATTACAAGTATGGAATCACAATGGGGACATAAATCGGGCGTTTTATTCAAGCGCGTCAAAGCTTTGTACACGTGGTATATTCCGTTTACAAGCAACGCAACGCTTGACGTCATGTGTAATAAGCTGATTTACCTTATTGATTGGTGCGGTAAAACACATTCGAGTCAAACAATGGACTTTCCAGTGCTGCAGGGGCTTGAATTATGTTTTATGAAAATATATTGTTGCAAGTGTGCGAAACCTAATTTAAACATGAGGTCAACATTATAACCGTTGCAAAAAATTGGAACATAACTAGTAATCAATACCAGTTAAATTTTCTAAAGAATATTCAATGTTACATAATTATGATGCTCATGTCAAGTTTATGTTTCCGAACGTTAATTGTACTCAGCGTCGCTAAAGATGGATCACACATATTATATGAGAAACTACTTTTTTCTGAAAACGTCGCATTTTTAAAATTCCAAAAGAATGAATCATTTGATACCCACATTGACTGATATGTATCATGTATCGCACGTGCATGTGCTAACGACTGGCGTGTGTTCAAGGTATATCTCTACCATCGCAAAATCGTTTCATTGTTGTAATAATCGTGGTCCATATTTCCAGTTTCATAAAAAAAACCCACCAAGTTAATGTAGCCAAGGCTTAAAGAACATGTTCTTCAGCTGTTGATCACATCATACACATTATCAGGCTTGTAGGCATTCATGCGCAGATATCCGATCATCTGTGATCGGGCCGGCATACACAAACACCCTTTAGCAAACCGGAGGGCGACACGTGTGCATATAGATGTCAGTACATTCGCGTGTTAAACGCGGGAGTGTCAACGCAGAAAATTGTTTTTACGAAATTGTTAACGGGGGCTGTACACGTGAATGGTCTAGAACTACCAAGTGGTATTTTGCCGAAAACAGGTTTCCATATTTGTAGGCGTTCCCCTTCACTGCTCTTTCTTACAAATATAGCAGATATTGTAAATACCTGTCATTGTTTGTGCACGTGTAACGGGGTGAATCACATCATCCTAACATCACCAACCATGTACTGACCTGCATCAGACACAGAACAGCCGCGACACACTTGACATAGCTGTACGCACAACCTGAACGAGGTGAGTGCGATCAAGGTATGGTGAAGCTGGTGTATTGACTGAAGGGAGCAGTCATTGCACACTTTTAACACTAGGAAGAACTATATGTACCTTTTTGTGTCATCGTTTGGGGTACATGTAGCTGTGATCATTTTAACATGTAGTGAAGGACTATACGTTACACACATACTTCCCATTGTAAGTTTGTGAAGTTCCTTTTAACAGAGGCATTATAGTGAAATAGTCCCTTTTCAACCGTGAATGGGGAACTGTTATAAAATTCAAAATGCATCATAGATTAGTGATAGAGTGAGTTTAGTTTTACGCTGCACTCAGCAAGATTCCAGCTATATGGCGGCGGTCTGTAAATAATCGGATCTGGACCAGACAATCCAGTGATCAACAGCATGGGCATCGATCTACGCAATTGGGAACCGATGACATGATGTCAGAGAAGATCCGGGTTAGAATATTGATCTTCACTAACCCATGCTGGTCGTAGAGGCGACTAACGGGATCGGGTGACCAGGCTCGCTGACTTGGTTGACATATGTCATCGGTTCCCAATTGCGTAGATCGATGCCCATGCTGTTGATCAGTGGATTGTTTGGTCCAGACTCGATTATTTACAGACCGTCACCATATACTTAGAATATTGCTGAGTGTCGCGTTAAACAACAAACAAACGAGTAGATCATCAGTGGGCAAGAGATTCAGAGAGATGTCGGGGCACAGATTTAACAACACTGGTACAAAACCCTTACAATTACTTACCTGAGTCTTTACATTAAGTAACTTCGGCGTAAAAATAAACTCACTCACTCACTCATTTCCCTTTCGGCCCTGCCCTTACTGTACTGCAGTAGTCCTATATATGAAGCACGTCTTCCGCTAGTTCAGGTCTGAATATTCTATCTTTCAGGGCCGTTTTTCAGTTTACTCGTTTCAATAAAAATCACATACTTTCAGAGACGAAGGGAAGTTTGCTTACTCCTGTTGTAGGTAATTACCAACTGAAATAGGCTGATATACACCCACAAAATGACGATTAGGAATCTTATTATGGTGAACGGAAAATACAACATTTTCGGAATGAATATGTTTCGATACCATGTAATTTTAGCTTAGTAACGACAGACCGTTATCTCGTAGACTCCTACGATCCTCAAATCGTTATTTATCCATGCCATTAACTCTTATTCAGCTACATAAATAGTACCCCCTCTTCGTCAGCTCAACTCAAGTGTTGACATATGACGTATTGTAATTACGATTCCCCACATGGCGTATTGTAATTAAAGCCTTAAATGTGCGGTATGTTAAGTATCATGTTTCGGTACAAAGTGCATAGCCTTTGTTCACTTTATCAGCGTCAAAACAAAAACACCGGGTGTCATATTATATAGTTAAAGTTACAAATTCACCTTACACACATTACATGAAGAAAATAAGCTTAATTTGTGATATGATATGGCATCAGTCGTGATGAGAATATGTGCAGTGATTATCTTGTCAAGGCAATATATTCATAACGGACCGTGGAATCTAAGGGAGAGCACTCTTGCAGGCTTATTCACCATACACATTATCCATAAGTTGTGAGAGCACGCACTCTGTACTAAATAACTGACGTTACCTGTTTTTGGTTTGAAGCATTAAGCCTTTATACAGATAGGAACTACCGACTGGTTTTGTATGGCGTAATGCAAAATGCTAGCCAAGCATTAATATATTAACCCTGTCTCGATGGCCTCGTCGCTCCGACTTAACGGTATTTACAAAGATGACTCTACCATGCACTTTAGTTTTATTAGTTATTCCTCAACAGAGACCTGCCCGTAAATGTTCTGCCAGTCGCATTCAACTTCAAACCAATGCTTCAGTAGTTCCTCCACACAACCGACGTCATCTTTTACATAACATCGCTTCACTTCAGCCCACACCACAGCCATGCTGTGAAGGGGCAAGAACTAGCCCAGAAACTTTGTGGAAAAAATAAACCAAGAAGTTGTTATCCATTAGATTTGTCTTGTATTACTACACCAACTTCTAAATGCCTTTGAAGAATTTCATGCTGACCCCTCCATATAACAAAACTACGTCCCTCAAATTCACAACAAAGTAAAAGACCCTCCAGCCAACAATAACATTCCGTCCTTGTGACATCCATTCAACCAGCAACACTGTGACATCACTCAACTAGCAACACTGTGACATCACTCAACTAGCAACACTGTGACATCACTCAACTAGCAACACTGTGACATCACTCAACTAGCAACACTGTGCCATCACTCAACTAGCAACACTGTGACATCACTCAAGCAGAAACACTGTGACATCACTCAAGCAGAAACACTGTGACATCACTCAAGCAGCAACACTGTGACATCACTCAACTAGCAACACTGTGACATCATTCAACCAGCAACACTGTAACACCACTCAACTAGCAACACTGTGACATCACTCAACCAGCAACACTGTGACATCATTCAACCAGCAACACGGTGACACCACTCAACTAGCAACACTGTGACATCACTCAACTAGCAACACTGTGACATCACTCAACTAGCAACACTGTGACATCACTCAACTAGCAACACTGTGACATTCCTCAACTAGCAACACTGTGACATCACTCAACTAGCAACACTGTGACATCACTCAACTAGCAACACTGTGACACCACTCAACTAGCAACACTGTGACATCACTCAACTAGCAACACTGTGACATCACTCAACTAACAACACTGTGACATCACTCAACCAGCAACACTGTGACATCACTCAACCAGCAACACTGTGACATCACTCAACTAGCAACACTGTGACATCACTCAACCAGCAACACTGTGACATCACTCAACTAGCAACACTGTGACATCCTCCAACCAGCAACACTGTGCCATCACTCAACCAACAACACTGTGCCATCACTCAACTAGCAACACTGTGACATCACTCAACATGCAACAATGTGACATCACTCAACATGCAACACTGTGACATCACTCAACCAGCAACACTGTGACATCACTCAACCAACAACACTGTGACATCAATCAACCAGCAACACTGTGACATCACTCAACCAGCAACACTGACATCACTCAACCAACAACACTGTGACATCAATCATCCAGCAACCCCTCTGACATCACTCAACCAGCAACACTGTGACATCACTCAACTAGCAACACTGTGAAATCACTCAACTAGCAACACTGTGACACCACTCAACTAGCAACACTGTGCCATCACTCAACTAGCAACACTGTGACATCACTCAACCAGCAACACTGTGACATCACTCAACCAGCAACACTGTGACATCACTCAACCAGCAACACTGTGACATCACTCAACTAGCAACACTGTGACATCACTCAACCAGCAACACTGTGACATCACTCAACCAGCAAAACTGTGACATCCTCCAACCAGCAACACTGTGCCATCACTCAACCAACAACACTGTGCTATCACTCAACTAGCAACACTGTGACATCACTCAACATGCAACACTGTGACATCACTCAACATGCAACACTGTGACATCACTCAACCAGCAACACTGTGACATCACTCAACAACAACAACAATCAACCAGCAACACTGTGACATCACTCAACCAGCAACACACTGACATCACTCAACCAACAACACTGTGACATCAATCAACCAGCAACACTGTGACATCACTCAACCAGCAACACTGTGACACTCACTCAATCTAGCAACACTCAACCAGCAACACTGTGACATCACTCAACCAGCAACACTGTGACATCACTCAACCAGCAACACTGTGACATCACTCAACCAGCAACACTGTGACATCACTCAACCAGCAACACTGTGACATCACTCAACCAACAACACTGAGACATCACTCAACTAGCAACACTGTGACATCACTCAACCAACAACACTGTGACATCACTCAACCAGCAACATTGTGACATCACTCAAGCAGCAACACTGTGAGTTTACTCCATATGCCAAGGCTGTCAGGATTCGCAGTTGCAGATACACGAGACACACACGATCATGTACGTCGCTCGAAGGGACGTTCAAACATATTTCCACCTCACCGCAAAACAGTACAGTACTCTTCCCACAATGGTCTCGCCAATCACATCAGCCATTCAACAGCAATGGAATGACTACATCAGCACAAACTGTTTTACGTGGTCCAAGCCCGATGTCCAGACCGCGTCATATAGCTGGAATGCTGCAGAGACTGCGCCTTTAAACAACACTCACTCAACTCGTACTGTTCCATCAGAACTTATTCCACCTGCAGGCAACGGAAGCTACATCTCTGTTCCATTACCCATGAGCAAGCATCGTTAACAAAACGCATCAAGTATTAATCCTTGAATTTTCACCCGCAAAATGAAAGAGAAAATGCAATAAATAATTTCGTTAAGTTTCGCCCCTCGTGTAAGCGAATTAACGGAATTTTCGCACAAACCTGGGAAGAAGGAATGAATTTTTAACGGAAGTGGTCACTCCCGGATTGGCATCACGTCCGTCCGTCAAACACGGCCACATTATAGAATCGTATCCACGCCCAAGCTCAGAGTCTCCAGCGAACAAACGCTAGATTTAATTACATTCTTTTCTGTTTCACAATTTCTATAATTAGGGTTCTTTTTCATCTACAGATCTCGCCTCTAATATGGCATATCGTACACTTGCATATCATATAACATTATATAAGCTAATGCATTATTGATGTCCCGAAGATTAAACACCGCTTTTTAGTGTGATTAACATTTTTGAAATTCCTTGATTGGACTGAAATGCGTTGTGTGTTTGGCACGTGATACAAAGTTGATGAAAAGTGAAATCAAGCAAAGAAAATGCTTGCGTCACATCGAGATTTTTTTCTATGTTAAGGATCAAATGCCATGAGAAAGTAAAATGTAATGTGTTAAATATGCGTCTCCTTTCCACGATGAAAACAGACAAGAACGACGAAGGTTTTATTAGCGGATGTCTTCGAGAAAGGACAAACAATTGCAATTCTTTATTGCTGTAATTGTTTTTATCCCTAAAATACCACCA